TCCCCCCCCCAGAGGGGTTTGAAAAGCAGGCTGGCGAGCGAGGGAGGGCTCAAAGTGTCACCTGGCAGTCCAGGCCAGCACGTCTGCCCGTGACACTGCAGCCGAGGTGGCAGCACGACACACCACACGGTGCCAGAAGCCAAAGCGCAGCAGGGCAGCACGTGGCAGTCGCACTCACACTGCAGGGGCTGCGCCTGAAAGATGAGAAGGGAAACGAGTGAGATGGCAGCACATGCCGCAGGGTCTGGTCCTGCCCCGAGACGCAGCATCCCGCCTCCCCCGGCCCCTTGCCATCCCCTCAGCCACCCAGCACACAAACTGCCCGCCCCGTGCATTTGCACCATGGGGAACAAGCCTCACCTGAGCCCCTCCGTGCAGACACCCGGCCTCTTTTTCTTTTTACAGGAGCCTCAGGCTCAGATGAGGCCGGAGCAGCTGCAGCTAGCTTCCTCCTGCGGGCACGGCCCTTCCCTGCCTCATCAGCCAGTACCTTCTCCACCTCCTCGGTTGGCTTTGGGGGGCTCCCCCCGGCCCTGGCACGCCGTTTCGAGGCACGTGTGGTGACCTGGGTGGAAGTCAGAGGTGGTGCTCAGCTATAGCATTGCGTACGAGTAAGGCCAGGGCCTACCCTTGAGCAGCACTGAACTGGTCCAGGACAGGCTCCTTTCCTATTCATAAGAAACGCCCTAGGCAAGAGAGCTTTATCCGGTTCGAGCATGGCACGAGGAACAGGAGAGCCTCTGACCCAGGAGCGGACACATCAACCACAACGCTTTGTACCTTGGGGGTCACAGCCTCAGGATCTGCCTTCAGCTGGGTGCGCTTCTTGCGGGACTTCCCTCCTGCGTGAAGGGAGACAACCAGGTTAGACGGGGTCAGCAGGACATGGGGCAGGCCCTGCTCTCTGTCCTCCCCCTCACCCCCAACAGATCCCCCCCAAGACACAGCGATCGCCACGCTCTCTCACGCTCACAGCCCAAAAGAGAGCACCACCCTCCTGCTCCAAGCCTGGCAGGCCCAGAAGGCGACATTGCTGCAGGTCTGGAAAACCATCCTGCAAGTGCAGACAGGTGTGCTGGAAGGTAGGAAGCCGGGGCATAGCTGGCTCCATTCCCCAGGGCCATCACGCTGCCACAGGGCTGTCAGGGCCCCAGGATCCTGCAGGAAGCACCCCCAGAGAAGAGGGCTGGGACCTTGCTCCCCTGGCTGTGGGCTGCTTTGTTCCTCCCTTTGCCTCCGTGCCTGCACAGCAAGCACGGGGCTTCTCCCTTCCCAGCCCTCCCACAGCAAGAGCAGGTCCCACAGGGAGGGGAGAGGACACTCACCTTTGGGAGCTGCGGGACCAGGCTCTCCCTGCAAGGAAGGGCGACAGAGCATTGACTGGAACGTGATCAACCCACAGGCACTAGCGCCACCACAACAGAGCTTTATCCTACCCACCTGCACACTTTTTAGAGGGGGAGAAGTGAACGGGAGACAACATCACCTACCCACAGATATAGCATGGGCTGGGGGAGATGGGCCTGGGGCTCCAGGAACAGCCACACTGCCTCACCCAAGGCCCTGTTGCCCCACTGTTCTTTGTTCACAAACTGCTTTCCTTCCGGGCCCTCCTCACCCTGCCCCTTGCAGGGCTGCCCAGCTTGGTTTGGAGGGGTGGGTGGGGAAAGCAGGGTTGAGGTTCAGGCTAGGATGCATTTAAGGACCATTCCCAAAGAGGCACAGTCCCAGCTGGTACCCCAGGAGGGGCAGAGGCCACCTCTCACAGCCCTGCTAGCTCCTCCAGCACCAGGGAGGACACAGAGTCTGGGCACAGAGACTCGTGCATCACTTGGACTACTGGCTCACAAGAAACTCTGGGGAAGAGCCCCACAGCGAACCCAGGACCGGCCCGAGCACGGCATGGGGAACAGGAGAGCCTCTAGACCCAGGAGCGGACACATCAACCACAAAGCTTTGTACCTCGGGGGTCACAGCCTCGGGATCTGCCTTCAGCTGGGCGCGCTTCTTGCGGGACTTCCCTCCTGCGTGAGGGGAGACAACCAGGTTAGACGAGGTCAGCAGGACATAGGGCAGGCCCTGCTCTCTGTCCTCCCCCATGCCAGCTAGCAGAGTACCTCAGGGGAGAGGTTGTAAGGAGGTGACCTTTGGGGGACACCACCCTGACTGATGTGTGAACTGAGCCAAGATGGTTGAGGCAGGCAACCCTGCGTTCACATGGAGGACGGACTCAGGGGGCTTCTTCCCCCCTCTCCCCGCCCAACAGATCCCACCCAAAACACAGCGATCGCCACGCTCTCTCACGCTCATAGCCCAAAGGAGAGCGCCACCCTCCGGCTCCGAGCCTGGCAGGCACAGAAGGGGACTTCCCTTCCCAGCCCTCCCGGAGCAAAAGCAGGTCCCACAGGGAGGGGAGAGGACACTCACCTTTGGGAGCCATGGGACCAGGCTCTCCCTGCAAGGAAGGCGACAGAGCATTGACTGGAAGGTGATCAACCCACAGGCACTAGCGCCACCGCAAGAGAGCTTACCTGCAGATGCTCTCAGCGGGGCCGCTGAGATCCATCATCTCCACCCCACAGCCAAGCTGGCATTAGGCAAACAGCCACATTGCCCGGGGAACTGGAGGAGCTGGGCTTGCTCTGCCTGTCTGCACCCCCCCACGTCAAGGGGGGACTCTCCCGTCAGCCCACGATCGTTCTGCAGGGCATCATCACACCGTCTCCCCTTGGGAACGTGGCTCAAAAAGGAGGAACAGGGCTGCCAGACCACCCTGCAACAGCAGAGCCCTCGCCTCCTGCAGCCAGCCCCTCTGGCCTGGAGGGCATGCCATCCCTCGGGGAGCGGGGGGGGATCAGCCGCTGCATGGTGGGTCCCTGTCACCCCACCTGCACATCCAGGGATCACATCAGTCTGTTGGATGGGGAGATCTCCAGGGATAGGGCCACAACGTGAGGCTCGGTGACCCCAGGAAGCAGAGCGTGAGAAAGAGAAAATGGACTGGTGCCCCCTAGGAGGAGCGGTGGGGGAGACCCAGCCCCAGGCCCTAGACAGCAACCTTGGCCTCATACCTGGAACCAGATGGTCCTGCCCATGTTGTCACGCAGAGAGCACATGCCAGGCACAGAGTAACACTGCAGCCAGTTCTTGAAAGCAGTAGAGTCACCTGAGTGCTCCGGGTCATAGCCCTTTCCTCCTGGGAAGGGAGAGAAGTGAAAGGACTGAAATAATTAGAGTTGGAGAGGAAGCAAGAGCCAGTTTGGCAGAGCTCTCCAGCCAGACCCCAGGCCAGGGGAGGTGCTGGGCCACAGCTCAGCAAGCATGCACCACCGCGGGCTTCTCTTGCAGCAGGGCTCCAGGGATCTGCCTTCTACCATGACCATGATGTTGGGGTACCCCCTTCTCCCAACCTTCTGCTGCTGGCAACACAGGAGGGGCTGGTCCGATGCCCAGGTCTCCCCCGACTGCCCAGCTCCCCCGGCTCCCTGTCCTGCAGCCTCACCCAATTCGACCACCTCCATGGGCACCGTGTGGCACAGCTCCAGGAGATCCGGGTTCTCCCGCTTCAGCTTCAGCTTCTTGCTCAGCGTCAGGGAAGGATCCTGCAAGGGCAGATGAAGGAAGGAGAGTCACCTGCCACCTACACTGGCCTCATCTGGGTCTCTCCTCCCGAACCCCAGCTACATATCCCATCATAGCCTGCCCTCCTGAGGACAGGCTGCCAAATCCTCGACCTGCTGCCTCGCCGCAGCACGCGCCAGCTCTGATCTCACCCCACAGGTGCCCTAACACTGGGTCAGCCCCAGCCCCTGCACGAGCGGGGTAACTGTGGGATGCAGCCTGCTCCACAGGAAACCAGCCTTTGTCTGAAGCTTGCGGGCCCCGTTGTAGGCTTCAAACTGAGTATTAGCGTGTTCCCCACAGCTACAAAAACAGGAAACGGGGAGCACGCAGGAGTACTAGCAGTTTGCAAAAATAGTCCTCGGGTCGTGTGAGTTTTTTCAGGCTCCTTAAAAATAGCCACCCCCTCTCCCCCGGGGCCTTGAGATCAGAGTAGCCCGACAGCAACTCAGTCCTGGGCTCTACTGCAGCCTTCCCTAGAGATTTTTGAGCTTGCGAGGTGTTTGTTTTCCTCGTCCCTTCCTCTTCACCCTTTCACCTCTCGGCCTCAAATATACCCAGAGATTTCCTGAAGGCAGAACACGTGCATGGGCGCAGCTGAGCGCAAACGCAGCAGTGAGGCATGTGCCCTGGGAGCTGTCATAGCTCATCAGCCCAGCCACGTGCAAGCGAGCTCCGTAAGCGTGATGTTACAGCAGAACTGCTGCACGCGTTTGCCGCTTCATTGGAGGGGCAGACGTGCTCAGACATGGGTGTTTACGGCAAACGACAGCAACAGGCTCGATGGGAAAGATCCCATGCAGCAAGCGTTACGGTTGCAACGGGGAAAGTCCTTCCTGCCAGGCTGGAAAACCAGACTGTGGCTGCTGGACAGCAACCACAGCGAGGCTTTGCTCCTAGGTGTACCCTGAGCGCTGTGGCAACCTGTCCACAGGGTTCTCAGAGCAGTAAACACCTCCTGATGCGGTACGGGGAGAGGCAGCGGGCTGTGCGAGCTCGCCAGGGGCCCTGCGACAGTGTTCTACCCCATCAGAGCGAGGAACCAAACATGAACCGAAACCGGCCTGAACCCTGGGCTGGAACAAGTCTCTGAAGCAGAGCTGAACCAGAGGCAGAGCTTGGCACCCAGCTAAGCCCAGACGCCGAGCAGGGCACTCGGCTCAGCCCAGACTGGGATCCAGAAGCAAACCGAACCACTTCCATCACTGCTGAGCTGAAACCTGAACCAATAACGTTTCTCAGCTCAGTCCTGCTCCCTGCACAGAAGGTGAGAGAGGCTCCTGGGGCCTGGGACAGCTGGTGAGAAGTCCTGCAGGGCTACAAGCAAACACGTCCCTGAAATCACATCTTTCTGGAAACCTGTCTCCTCCTGGCCCAAGGCAAATCAACCAATACACAGGCAGGAGCGCGGCCTGGCTCAAGGTGAGCTGGAGAGACACTGCCAGCACTTGTTCCTGCGCAAGGTTTCCCACGGGAAGAGGGCTGAACCAGGCAGAGAGCCCCAAGGGCTGCAAATCCCCCATGCACTCTCTTAACAAAAGTCATCATGAGAAGTCAGCTGGGCCCTTAAATCACAGCTCCGGAACAGTCCTCCCTCAGGAAACTTAGGGTGAAAAATCCCATAGAAGCAGCAGTTGCACTGGGAGCTGGAAGGGAAAAGGCAAGGCCTGCGATCTTGTGGAGCGATGCTGTGCACAAGAAAGCACCCGCACAGTCTCCCCTTTCCTCACCTGCTCTCGATGCTTCAGGGCCTCCAGCACAGTCCGAGCCTTTTCAAAAGGAGGGATCTTCAACCTAGGAGAGCCCAGCTGTTACACGCGAGCTGTGGCGGGGCAGCCGGGCACTAGCCCGTGACTGCCAGCAGAGGAGCCTCAGCTGGCTCAGCTGAGGAGCCACCAAGCTCTGCCAAACACCGGCAGACCAAACGTGGCCTCTGGGCAGCGCAAGATTAAAGAGGCCTCAAGGCTTTTCAAGTGATGCTGTAGCCACCGAAGCCTGAGCAGTAACCTGGCCCAAGGGTTGATGCAGTCAGCGCTTACAGCAAGCGGGTTCTCTGATCTCGCAGAGAGGCCGAGCGGGGCAGGCAAAGGCCCTGGTCTTCGGCCTTGGAAGACGCTGGACCCAGCGTGGTGGGAGCACAGAGGAATGCTGGTACCTGCACTGTGTGACCCGGCTGGCCACAGGGGGCCTGGGGAGCTGCCCCAGGCAGAGCTGGGGGTCTTGGGTGGGTGGGGGAGGGGGAGGAAGGGAAGGGAAGGGGAGTAGCAGAGCGGGAGCCGAGCAGCTCAGGGCTGTTATCAACGCCTAGGGCCGCGGCTCGCTCACAAAGGCTCGGGGGACCTCAGATAGCTAGTCGGAGCTACAGGCAGGAACCGCGGGGTTTTTCCTCCCTCTGCTTTCTCCTGCGGACATCGGTCACCCGCGGACCGGAGGCGGCGCCGCGTCCCCTCGGCAGGGCAAGGGGCCGGGGGCCGCCGG